CGGAAAGTACTTTTCTCAATACAGTCTGGAGGCAGAGGAGAGAGCAAAAAGATAAATAGGCAAGATGCTGAACACCATACCTTGGCCCTGTCTACACAGGGCTTCAAGGAAGGCCAATGATAAAGCTGTTGTGTCTGTCTTCCCATGAGATCGCAGTCTTCTCAGCCTCCACTGAGCGAAGCTTTGTCTCTCTCTTCTACCTCTCACTAATAGCCAAGGAAAATTGATCAGGTAAACATCTGTGGGGTCCTTTTTCATGGTGTGTCCCCCCTCCCCGTGAGACTCTCTGTATGCTTGCTTATTTTTTTAGATCTGCTTTGACTAATGGACGATGTGTAAAGTTGATTGAATGATTGTTGATACTAGCTTTAGACTCTTCCTTACCTACTAAACTTCACAGGAATGAGACAAGTTACAGAAGCTCCTTCGGTTTTCCTTACTAATGATTCTGTTGTCTTGCAGTTGTTATTTACGTGTTTATCCTGTGATAGTTCTTTTCTGTGTGCAGTCAGAGCTTTATCGGTTGCTTTCCAGACAAGCTAAGACTTTGAGGAAGCTTTTGGGGTTTGAAGAAGTGTTGTTTGGTTGCTTAATTGAACAACAGTGAGCTGTCATAATCTAGATTTTCATCAGAATGGCATCTGATAATGTGTCACATAACACATAGTGGTTACCTGGAAGTTAAGTAGCTGTTTGAAGATCTGTTTATTCCCTGCAAATCTACAACTGTGGTCTGTCAGCAGAATCTTTAATTGCACACATCTGCACAATGGTATTGTAGTTCACTCTGCATGTTTACAGGTGTTACTGCTTGGATTCAGCTCCCAAATTATTCCTGTTGTGTATGTCCATGGTGCAGCTTGTATTTTCAAATTACGGGAAAGCCAGACTGTTTCCCAATCTCTTGCCCCATCAACCTTCCAAAAAAATTTGCTTTATTTTGGGATATCCCTGACTTTTAGTTAATCAAAGTCTCTCTGAAAGGCTTTTACCCTCTTTTCAGAAGTTCAAATGCTGTTTTCTTGTGGCCTTGCAAGAGGTTTTCTGATTCCTCTTTATATTAATCTTAGCTTTGCGCTTTGTTGCATTTGTGATTCCTGTTCTGGCAAAAAGCCAAGTCACTTATCATATAGCTCTGCATCTCTGAAGACAATACTGATTCTTGCTTACTTGATCCCTTTCTGTCAAGGCCTGAAGATTGCATCTTTTTGATCAAAGGGATGTCTTCTTCATACCTCATACCTTTCTAGATACTTTTTTAAAAAAAATACAGTGCTAATTTCAATTGTGTGTGCATGTCTTGGGCAGTGGAGGTGATAATTAAATGGAGATGTTTGAAATCAGGTTAGTAATCAAGTGGAGAAATTGGCATGAAGGGACAAAGGAAGTTAATAACGTTATTTGTGTTGAGCATAGTACACAGTGAACAGCTGAGGATCTGACTCGTGTTCTGTGCTGGTACCTCCAAAGTATTTGGGGTTTTTTTGTGTTTCTGATCCACAGGCAAACAAGGCTTTTTCTGTAGTAATAAACTAAACACTGCCAAGGAATATTTATTCCTAGGTACCCGAACATGAGTATTTGTACTGTCCAGTTATCCAAACAATCCTTGGCAAGGTTTTCGGCCCGTGCCAACTAGCTTCTCCCAACAACTTCTTCCACTGCTGAGGACCCACCAGAGTCCAGGTACTGTGCCTGATACGCAGCTTGAGCCTTACCTGCTCTGAAGCCTGAGGGTGTAGAGGCCAGCTGACCTCAGTGTCAGAGAACTCTTCTGGGCATGTTTAAATGTTTTGTATAGACTGTAGCTATTAAGTGCTAGAGGAGTGTTTTTGTGCTAAATCCCATGCTCAGGAACATTCAAGGTGACACCCCTTCCTGAAGAAAGTTACATGTTGATCATTTGTACCCTATCAGCTTTAAAATGCTACTACTTTGGTATCTGTGTGTGGGAATAAACCATAAGATGACACGATAGCTGTCCTGGTTTCGGCTGGGATAGGGTTAAATTTCTTCCTAGTGCTGTGTTTTGGATTTAGTATGAGGAGAATGTTGATAACACACTGATGTTTTCAGTTGTTGCTAAGTGCCCTTCTAGTCCAAGGACAGCTCCTATGCCTACTGACTGAGCTAGGTATACAAGATGGGAGGGAACATAATCAGGACAGCCAGCTCAGCTGGCTAATGGGGTATTCCATACCATGTGATGTCATGCTCAGTATATGAATGGTAGGCGTGATCCAGGAAGTACCGATCGCTACTTGGTTATCGGTCAGCGCGGGTGGTGAGCAATTGCATTGTGCATCACTCATTTTATATATATTACTATTATTATTATTTTCTCTTTTCTGTCCTATTAAACTGTCTTTATCTCAACCCACAAGTTTTTTTCTCCCTCTCCCCCTTCCGATTCTCTCCCTGCCCCGCCGAGGGGGTGGGGGGGAGTGAGTGAGCGGCTGTTTGGTATTTGGCTGCCTGCCAGCTTAAACCATGACAATAGCCCTTCCACCTTCAGAGAAGCTGTAGGCACAGGATATTTGTAAGGTTTCCTTAGCTGCATAACTGCAGCCGCTGTGAACATTAGGTATCTTAAAAGTGAAATTGGCGTGATGCTTCTCTGAGGCAGTATTTGTTCTGCTTTCTTTATGAAGAATCAAAATCCATCAGTTATTTTTCAGCATGTTTTTATAGCTGATTTTGCAATGTAATAGTCGTTATCACCATTTTAAATCTCTTGGCCCTTCATATGCCTTGGGTTGCTTCTTGATGTGAAGTTGCAGAGGAGTTATGTGAACGTAATGTTTGTAAAATGCTTTGAAGATGAAAAGCTCGACAGTAGGTTTTTATTATTACCAGAGGCAAAGTGAGCAGGAGTGGCTTAATGTTGGACTGTTCATTTCCCAAGAGATGGCTTTGTTTTGAAGAGTGCACATTATCAGTTGGGTTGGAGACAAAATTATCTTATTTCAATCCTGAATATAAATAAATTGGCAAACTTTCTACCTTGAGATTATTTGCATGAGATATTTGTAAAAGAGCAGAGCAGTTATGGTACTGTCTTGGCTCTGTTCTTAGCTTCATTTAATGGAACATTTATTTAATGTATTTGGCTTCTACTATCCAGAGGTATTTTGAATCCCATCCATTCAAACATCCTTTTATATATATTTTTATATATATAGCAGTGTTCTTATATCTATATGATATACAGCTATAGATGAGATATTTATTTGAGAAATACATATATTTGAGATATATATTGCTCTTCTAGAGAGAAAATCAGTTTCAGCATGTAAATAAAAAAGTGGTCTGCATTCAGAAATGGTGACATTTTATTAGAATTTGGTTCACAGAGAGTTATTTTTGTGCTCAACCTACTATA